GGCATCTCAGTCGCGCACGCTAACCCCTCGGCCACCGCGGCACGACGGCGGGCGATGTCGCAAAGTTTACTTGATAGTAAATGCGTGCCGCATACCGATCGATTTTGCAGTGGATGCGAGATATTGGCCGGCAAAATCAACCGTCTTGAGGAAGAGATGGAAAAGATGAAAACCCTTCTACAATGTAAACTAGACACACTTGACGATGCGAATGTACCTGTTGGACGAATAACTAGAAGTAGGGCCAAAGGACGTCGCACAAAAAATACGCCATCAACACCTTCTGCAGCTGTCACGGCACACCCAGCACAAACACATAAAATACAAGACGACAACAACCAGCGAAGCAACGATAAAAAACCAGAGGAAAAAAAGAAATCGTGCAGCAAAAAGGTCGAAGGACATGAACAGCAGATTCCGAGGAATGCCTCCGAAGAACCGGAACCAGGGACGTCGGCGTCCGTGTCGCCCATCACGGGAAATGACATGGGTCCTAAAACCCTCAACCTATCGCAAAAAACTTCCGACTTTGATGAAAATGCCAACAAAACAGAGACGAATGAGGATATTAATCGACTGCAGCTTATATCCTCGTCAGATCATGGCAACCACATATTGCCTATGTCGGAGCACGAAACCACTGTGTTCTCGAGAGTGTCGCCGGTCAGAGGACAATGTCTGATTATTCAGGGACTTCCCGAATCCACAGCTGGTGCCTCCAAAGAGCGGGTCTCGGCAGACCTGAAACTCTTCCAATGCCTACTCAACGAACTTCTGCGCCCCAATGAGGAAGTTTCGGTTCTCAAGGCCTTTAGGCTTGGAAAGCGCTCAATCGATATATCAGAGCACTCACGTCCCCGACCACTCAAGATTGTGTTAGCCAACCAAGAACAAGTAGGACTTATTCTCTCACGACGTTTCCGAATCAAAGACACCAACCGCGGCGTTTTTTTTCAGCCGGACTACACACCGGCAGAGAGAATAAAACGTCGACAATTAGTTCTGGAACTGAGAACAAGGTTGCAGAATGGCGAGACGGATCTTGTGATCTACAACAACCAGATAGTGCAGCGCCCTCCCCTAATCCGTTGGACCGAACCGATCCGGATGAGGGCACAGTAGCTTCCTTAAATGGGATCACAAGCGGCACCATAATCAAACGCCCCAAAACTCTGAAACTAACATTTTTTTACACCAACGTGCAGAGTATATTGCCCAAGTTAGACGAGCTGAAGATCCACATCTGTGACCTTTCCCCTGACATTATCTCTTTGACAGAAACCTGGCTGTCTGAAAACGTGGATGACCGCGAATTAATGCTACCAGGATTTCAGCTGTTTCGAAGAGACAGGAGAGAGCGTCAGGGAGGAGGAGTCGTCACGTACGTAAAACACGGCCTGCTTGTGTCAGATAAAACAGAACAGTTTGCCTGCAGCGCCGAGACTATCTGGCTCAAAATAAGGGTACCAGGATCACATAGCCTTGAAGTTCTGACCGTCTATCGACCACCGAGGAGTGACCCCCAGGCTGACGCTCGTCTGTTAGAGGAGCTAGGACGATTTGCTCTCCGGCCTGACGTCCTAATCATGGGCGACTTCAATGCACCGCTCATTGATTGGAGTTCACTATACGCGCGCGGCCCAGAACTAGCTTTCGACCGACGCTTCTTGGACATGGCACTCCGGTCATTTCTCACACAGCACGTCCTATTTCCCACGAGGGTCCGTGAGGGGCAGCAGTCAAACTGCTTGGACCTGGTGCTCACGAAATCGATGGACAGCATAGATGAGGTACAATGTCTGCCTCCCTTAGGTCGAAGCGATCACGTTGTACTTCAATGGGACTATTCAATCTTTTCCGTGCCTGAACAGCCCACCAAAATTAGAAGAAATATTTGGCGTGGGGACTTCGATCAAATGAAGGTCGAAATCAACAATACGGACTGGGAATCAGCGTTTTCCGGAAATATAGAGGAGGATTGGTAATGGTTCAGTGAATTATTGCATACTCTCCTGACAAACCACTGCCCGCTTTCACGGAAGGGGCTAAACAAACGACCCCGGTGGCTGACCCAGGCGTTAAAAAAGGAAATAAATAAAAAACGGAGATTGTTGCAGAAATCTCTTACTGATGGGACTCCTGTATCCATAAACGCATACAAAATACAGAGGAACTTAGTCAAGCGGCTGACCCTCAGGACACGGCAAAATTTTGAAAAAGACCTATTGAATCGTGCTATGAAAAATCCAAAATTATTCTACAGCTACATAAGAAGCAGCACACGAAACAGAGATCCAATCCCCCTCCTGAAGACTAGCGGAGACGTAGAGATTAGTGAGGATGGAGAAAAAGCTGAGCACTTTTCACAATTTTTCAAATCCATCTTTACTAGTGAAAGTCCATTTACTCCCCCCGACTACGACTTCGATGAGGGTCCAAAAATCGAGTCTGTGTCTTTTGATGAAGCGACGGTTCGCAAAGAGCTAATGACGCTAAATGAGTCGAAATCACCAGGTCCAGACGACATACCACCTAAGTTACTGAAGGAGCTCGCTACCGAACTAGCCAAACCATTGTCCATGCTTTTCCAAGCCTCGTTCGAAGCCGGCGGCTTGCCCGCCGACTGGAAATCTGCGCGGATCACACCACTGCATAAAGGAGGCAGCAAGGCCTCTGCAAACAATTACAGGCCAATTAGCCTCACTTCCATCTGCTGCAAACTCATGGAGAAAATAATCAAGCGAGAGCTGATGCGCTTCCTAGAGCAGCATAATTTATTATCTGATGCGCAGCATGGGTTTCGTAGTGGCAGGTCTTGCGTGACTAACCTGCTCAACTGTTTGGAACGTTGGACTCGGTCAGTTGATGAAGGCAGTGCGCTGCATGTAGTCTATATCGACTTTAAAAAGGCATTTGATAGTGTCCCACATCAGCGACTCCTGCACAAACTGAGCCGAACAGGCGTTAGGGGTAACCTCTTAAAATGGATTCAAAG